AAATGTACAGTCACTGACACCCAAGATGACATTCCACAACTTATGTATCATTGCATAATATCTCTGGGGCAGTGTCAGAGATGGAATTTAGCTTTTCAAGATAGCGTGCAGCTGCCTTAGCTGCAGGCTTTTTATTTCTTCTATCCTTTGTTGCAGTCCTCTCTTGCTTTATGCTGCAGAGCGCAATGTAGAGCTTCAACAGGCAAGTCTCCTTCGCTACTTGAGCCTGAGCAAAGTGAAAGGACCATCATATGCTTGTATCGTAATTGCAAAGACAGTATCATGGACAAAGGGATCACATTTGCATTGAAGTAGAAGAGCACAAAGTACTAGAAAAAGAAATGCAAGCATTGATAGTTTGTTGAATAGTCAAATATTACATGAATGGTAGATAGCAAAGAGAAAAGATGACTAACATAAAGGTGTCTAGCTATGTTGTAAGATATGCATAGAGAAACTGCTTTTTAATATAGCTAAGTGTGGATTTACATATTCAGGAGCAAGAGCCTAGGCCATATGTAGGGAATAAAATACCTTAAGAAGCATGATATCAAGAATAAAACATGAAAGTTGAAGAATCATTTTATTTCTTTCTTTATTTATAATACCAGCAAGTGTAAAACAGTTTCTAGGTATGGGGAAGCCTCTAGTCAGTAGTTATGATATTTCTGTATTTACTTTTACCACACTTAAATACTGTATGCAGTCTGTGGAACAATAGCTTAAAAATAGTATGTTGCAGGTACACTGAAACCAAAACTTTGATAATGGAAACGTCTGTCCAAGAGACAAAAATCTAATAGCTGGAAGTTGAAGCTGGACAAATGAAGAGTAAAATAACTAATCCTAGAGAAATGCCTTCCTTTTTAATAGGATACTTAGCATGAATTATGAGAGTTGATAAGAAATTCTTCATCATCATAATAAAGAAATGTTTCAGATTTTGAGAGGTTAGAAATTGTCATCTATAATTCTGGTAGATAGCAGCTGTCAGCTTCTGCTTATAAATAGTATCAAGTGCTCTAGTGTTTGTGAGGACGGGAGAAATCCGTAGCCAAAAAATGAAAATTGTAAGGCGGAAGCTGTAGAATTGGCTCTGAAGTCGTGATTTAAAACTTAAATAGTATACTTCCTGAAATTCAATCACTGAGCTATGTTAAAGGAGCTTCACAGATCTTGTTAAAATTTTTCTGGTTAGATTTATGAGTAACCTACCTTTTTCAAATTCTAAAAATTCTAAAGACTGATATCCCTTAATATTTAATAATTTCAATTAGTTGATTTAAGTAATTAATTTAGCTTATTCCCATTCAATATTAATTGTATCGTATTGATTTGATAGCTGCTTTATATCCTTCTAGTTTTGTGTAATCTTGTTAACAACATCATAACTTTGGTGCCTTTTTTAAATTTTCTTTAATGTGATCAATTTATTACTAAATCTCATTTCTTTTGCTAAGTGACTTCAGAATTATTGAAAGTGGATGAATAGATGTGTATCGTCTTGTCAGTATAAGAGCAGCTCTCCTTATTGGGCTTTTGTTAGCTGCTTTTCATGTAACTGGCTCACTTGGTTAGCAGAAGATACTTGACTGATTTGTTTTTTCTTTCTCTGTTTTTTACAATAATCTCGTCTTGAATAACTTTATAGCTGAAGCTGGGCTTAAAAGTTATTTAATACTTCCCCTTTTGTGCAGCAGTAGAAGAATTTGCTTTGTGCATCTGCTGTTTAGTGATTCAGTTGTGCCTCTGCTCTTTCATGATTAATTTTTAACATGTGAACATTTTAGTGAAATTACCGCTCTACAGATGATACTTAGATCAGGATTTCCTTTTTGTCAAACAGTCTGATAGAGATGGAAGGCGGATAAAAGTAATCTGTTTAGATTTAATCCTGATAAGACATGCAGTGTTTTCATGCTGGTAGAAAGCTTGTAGTGAAATTTGTATTATGTGTATATTTAGCTTTTATTAGTGGAGAGTGTGCCAGGTTCCTAGCTTGACAGTTACAGTTCATAATCATCTTAGGTTCTTTTGCTGGTCCTGGGTTTTTATGTGTTGTCATCCACATAAAAAATTTTTTTTTGCCATTTTGTGTTCACCATTCATCAAGAAGATGGCCACTAGTACACATTTTTACTACTATTATTTACATTTGTTTCCTTAAATGTAGATTATACCAGAATATACTACTGTAGTATGAATTTACACCATGGTGACTCCAGGTGATGAGCAATACATTAGTGTACTTTGGATACCTGCTATCTCAGATTTCCACCAAATTATTGCCTTCTCACTGGTACATCATTCTCCCATGCATGAAAGAGCTTGGAGTACGTTGTGCCACAACAAATGGAGCGGCAGTGTTGATTATTTCTCAGTGTATTTCTGAAGTGTTCATCTGTTCTGGACAGATGGGAGAAGTATGGAAGGAAGAAGGCAAGGACTGTCCACTTCTGAAAGATTTCACTACTGAATGGGTGAACTGTAAGCTCAGAGGATGTTGGGTTTTGGGTATAGCTTGCTTGCAGCTGTGCTTCCCAGTCTGGGTTGAAAGTACCATTTAGCTGAGGTGAGAAAGTAAGTGTGGGTACGTGGGCAGGTGAGTTTGAAGCTCAACTGACATCTAGGCTAAAGGTCTCTGGATCTGCAATATCCTGACTTAAAACTTTAGTTAAGATGTGATATATTGTTGGGTGGTGGTTTGGTCTGGTGGAACAGGCAGTAATTATTGTCCTTATTTTGTGGTCTGAAATGGGTGTGCATTTGTTTGAATTGTATTTCAAAATCTTAGTTCTAGTTCTGTAAAATCTGAAATGGTCTTTTATACTGGTAATCAGACAGTTTACCTGTGTTTGGCACTGAGTTGAGGTAAACTAGCTTGTTTCTGCTGTTGATTCCAGTCTTTCAACTTTTAATGGCCAGAAACACTGCAGTATTTCCATGGGACTGTCAGCTTTCAAATTTATTAGATATTCATAAATAGTCTATGACATGTTTGATGAATTGGCCAAAAGGTGAAGCTGCTCAACCTGTCTTGCATATTGGTGATGCCACCAGCTGTGGCAGACAAAAAAAAAAAAAATTGAGAGGATGGACCAGATGGCCAAAGTTTCATCAATACTCTTCTGTGTTGGAGATTCTTTCACAACAAAGGAGAATCTTGATTAAAACAAACTTGACTTCTGTGGGGTTTTCAGTCTGCTTGCTATGTTGTTGCATTGAAGAATATAGGGTTACTTGTAATATGGACAAGTTTTCAAATGTTTTTTCAGAAGGATGTGTGATTTTGCATAATAGGTTGGCGGTTTGGAACCTTATGTATTGTTCACATACTTTTCTAAAAGTTTGCAGTGTTAGAATATTATTGTCTACTTCAAATGCATATTTTAACATTAATATCTATGTCACAAAATGGAGATTATTTGTACGGTTCAGGTCAGCTCTTATGTTTGCACATTTGTAGAACCACTGGCGCGTATTGTGTTACTTGCCTTTTTTTAAGTGAATAATAGAAATCATTGTCACACTTGACAAAAGTTAATCATAAAAAGGACTGTACATCTTTTAAAAGGTATTTATTGTATGTCTACAGGATGGCTGTTTGTTTGTGGGGTTTTTTAGGCTTTTCACCAGTATGCTGTATTAAACAGCTGAACCATTTTTAGCTGTATAGAAGACAACACATGGCTGAAAATTTGAGGGGGAATGTCTTACAAACAGCTGTACGTTCGTTTTCTTTCCAAACATTAACAAAGCCAACTTATACTACATATGCCACAGTTTTGGTTCTGTGGAATTGAAGAAGTGATTGCTTTTGGATTCCGATAATAATATTACATCATCAGGGTCAGTGTTGCAATTGTTTTTAAACAGGTACTCAATCCATTTATACCCCTTTCGAATAAAATCTAACCCCTACTGTGTTTGAAGATATGTTAGGAATTGCCATTTCTTAGTAAGATTAAGGGAAAACTCTTGCCTGCAGTATGGTAGGAGGAGGAAGGGGGAAGAAACACAGTGGCTACCTGTTTGCTACCATGTCATGTAAAGGGAGCATGGATGTTACACCAGGTTGCAGTGATAGAGGGGAAGATCTGTGTTAAGCCTTTAAGTGCTTCTCCCTTCCTCTTCTCACAGCAGATTTGTGCCTAAGGTTAAAACCAGGACAGTTGCCCTGACAAATGTGGACAGATTGTTTTAAGACTATGTTGTAGATTTATTCCCAAGCTATTTTACCAGAGCTATATAACGTGGTTGTGAGTGGAGGAAAGCTCCCTGTTTGTGACGATTGTGGAACCTGCACTAACTACAGTTCCATTATGGCTATTACCATCATGATGGTTTCATTAGCAGTGTGTATGTTTGAGAATCTTGAAGTACTAGTAAATTTAAATCTGTCATTGCTGGGCAAAGCTGCAGGCACTTATTTTAGTGGACGTCTGAACTTAGATACAGGTTTTCTAATCCTGGGGCTGGCTACAGATAATTACTTCTTTGGTAGTGAAAATAATGGGCAACATTATAGGAAATCTACAGGGAGGCAGAGGTGTGTTCTTACAACTCTAACAAATTTGATGATATATCAAGATACACCTGAATGTTGTTGAAAACTAAGCAGATCTTTCTTCCTTACATATGCGTGCAACACCACTTGCAGTATACTAGCCACTGGACTCTAATGGATATGATAGGACAACTGAAAAAAATGACAGAGGAAAAGGTTTTAAAGAAAAAAACCCTCTGGTTTAGTGTTCTGAAGAAAAGGATCAAATACCTCTGCCTCTACTGAAGGTTCAAGAGCTTGTAATTTACATCCTTAGACATATGCCTTTGATCTTTTTTGATTTTGGAGGATCTGAGGTGTCATGTTTATAGATGGGGAAAACATAAGACAGAAATAAATTTAAAATTCCTTTACAGGTCACTTTTAAATATCTACCAGGTAGAACTGCTGTTTGAGAAGATGCTCATAGTTTGTGTTTGATGTGCATTTACAGTGTCCATATATGGGATTTGGTTTTATGATAAGGAAGAATGCCAAAGAATTGCAGAGCTCATGAAAAAGTAAGTGATGGGTAAACAAGACTTTTTGTGCTTTTTTTATGTATGTATTTCTGTACATACATGCACATTATATTACTAGGATGGTCATACCTTTCTGCTTTAAAACTATATTTATAGATTTTTGTTGCAAGTAAAGTTGTCAAGCCTGCATTTTGTATAATCAGAAATAAGTCACTGTATTGCAATACTTTTTCATAATTTGCTGTGCAGCTTTCCAGCTACATCAGAGTGTAACAGTTCATCTGATTTATTTCCTGATGACTCAGAGATCTGTTTTGAAGAATTGTATTCTTTGGGGTTTTAATATATTTCTGAGTTTGGGGAGATTTTCTTTTTTAATTTTGCTGTTACCTTTTTTCTTGTATCAGTGTAAGTGCGGGCTATCATGAAGGCATACTGTAATAATACTATTTCTGTCATTTTTATCCTGTTTCTACATCTTGGCTGAATTCCTGCTTCCTCATTTCCTAGCAAAATGTACAAAATTTGCCTTGTTTTTGGAATATAAAGCAAGACTTTAATTAGCTTTTAATTAATTACTTTTATGTACATAATAATATTATTTTATACATGTTATACAATCTTTAATTTTGCAGTGAAGTCCGAGATTAAAATTTCAAAAAGAACTGTATTCTCAACTGTATTTTAATATCATGGATAGTTTTTTCACTGTCACTGTTTTCTTCACGTGTCCAGGATGGACAGGGCTCACTCTTCTGCTCTACCCTCTGGTTGGCCTAATGATAGGCTTGTTTGCAATGATCCCTTTCTTATGACTATATTCTGCAGGTTTTCGTGTTTGTTTAGAGGTGGAAGGAGCTGAAGTCTTACAGATTTTATCAACATATGCAATCTACATTTTTTAGAGCTATAATATGGAGGATATAGAAAAAGGGGCCCAACAGGAGCAGGCAGAGATGGGATATACCGGTTGCCTGCAGTATATAGAGTTGGACATATCATTGTGTCACAATTCTTTTAAGGGACAGGAGGGATGACATAGAGCCAGGTCTTTGTCATCCCAAGAAAAGCCATGGGAGGGGGATACAGTCAAGCTGACACCATTAGGTACTAACAGAGCGCAATGCAAAGGCACTGTCAGACCTGTGAATCTCTCCTTTTCAGGTCATCTGTCCCAATCTTAACAGCTTCTGTAGCCAGAAGCATGCTGAGGAAGTGACATCAATTTTGATTGCCAAAGTTACCAAGTGCCCAAAAGCCCATTTATGTGCCCTGCAGTACAGGTCCAAGCAGGGCTCATCCTTGCACATCTTGATCCATTGCAAAGTGCTTTAACTCTTCTGCCACTATGTTCCAGATAGGATTTGTTATAAAATACTGGATGGAAAGGTAGTCATGTTTCCTCTCTATCTCTTTTTGAAGTAATACCTGCAGCTTTTCATTTTGCAGTGACAAAACATTGTGAAACACAGACTGCGACAACAGTGGGGGTTTGTGGTTTTTCTGTATAACCTACAGCTCTAAAATAAGGCAGTTGTGACCCAAGAAATAATTGATGGGGATGAAGTTACAGAAATAAGCAAAGAACCCTAGGAAACCCAGGTTTTTGACAGCTAATTTTAGTTAACTAGCTCAAGTTTCCGTTGGTGGTGATTAGGTACTCTCAAACTGGTAATTTACTACAGTAAAAACTAGTTTTCAGAGGATTCATGGAATTGTAAACCACGTGTAGTGGTTTATAATAGCAGTGTTTCATACAGATAAAAGATGTCGTCGCTCAGCCAATTGGCTGCCTGTTTTAATTCTCAGCATTCTACAATAATAAAACAGCTGGGGCAGGAAATTGGTCATTTGCTAGTAGTTAATGACTGATTTGTGTGTGTTTGCAATCCTCCACCACCAGCAGAACTGAATAACACTATAAATTCCCTGCTCCTTCTGGGTATAGAAATTGTGACTAAGTTACGGAAATTTTAGCCTATGGCCTAGTGTATTCAAGATTGGAGAAAATGAATCTCATGCCTGGTCAAATTATGTTTTAATATAGATCTTCTGATAGAGGTTTTTTTTACACGTTTTAATGCAGATGGGGAGGGGAAATGAAAATATTTCTGTTTTGATTAATTATTGTAAAGTAGTTGTGGTTAAAGTTTTTATGTTTTATCTGTGTTTTGTCTTGTATATTTTCCTCTCACCTCCAACTTTCAGCCTAACTCAGCAGGAACAATTCAAAGCACAGCAGGGCACGGGAACAGGAGTGTCCCCAATGATCATGAATTCTTCTAATAACAAAGAAGTGGATATCTTACGGATGCTTACTAAGGCCAAAGATGAGTATACCAAGGTGAGACTTGCTGTCTATAAAAAGGGGACGTTTCTTTTTGGCGATACTATGATGCCAACTTGCTCACACTTTACATTTTAAAACATACAAGGTTTGGGATTGCTTTTAAGTAGTTTTCCTCAAAGTGAAACTGATTTTGGACCGTGTGCTCTCTCATTTTGTGTAGAGCTGGTTGGTAGAAAAGTTTTGTTAGAATTTGTGGAAGATTCAAAAGAAATCAATGCCGTCACTAAAAACTTCTGAAAGGAGAACATGTATATGATTGATTATTTGTTGAATACTAGGGAGTAAGAACAAGTATAAATTGGCTTTCATTTTGACCCTTAGAGCTCCTGTGCTTATTGAGTAGCACCTGGAAGTTGTGTCCTCTTTCTGGGTGGAGTATTCAAACCTGCCAATAGTTTCTGTGGTTTGTACAAATAACTTCCTTCAGAGAAGACCTTTAACAGTGAAGTTACTGCTTCTAATTGTGGTTGTTAGGTACTTTCAAATACTAATGGAAGGAAATGAAAAGGTTGAAATGTAGTATGATTTCAGCCCATGTGCTGCTTTGGTCTTCTGAGGCTTCTAAATAAAGAAGTAACTAATGGACTAATAATGTTCTCTATTATTGAGCAATCAAAAATGTTTTACTTTGGGGAATAAAAATCTAGTAATTTTAACTATTCATATACACACTGCAAATTGTTAGAGGGCCTGCAGTTTCCTACTGCTGTTTCCTGTATTTTGTATGTGTTATCATGCAATAATAAAGCTCATAAGTGTTCTGAGTCTAGAAATATATTTATATATATCTTAAACATAAGCAATTTAAAGAGAGAAAAAGTTATTTTTTTGAAATGTGGCTACTAATAAGATCCTCAAAGATAATAGCAAACTGTTTGAATTATGGTGAAATGTAGCCCTTTTTGTTGTGGCATAGCTTCTTTTGAAGCTTAGGACCTTCATATTTTCTCTAATAGGGATTTAATGTATTATAGTGGACAAACACCTCCAAAACCTGGTATCTTTTCTGTGGTTTAATGCTGAATCAGTATCTAGTCTTGGCATAAAATAGTGTGATTTGAGATACTATGAAATGCTTAAGCGGTTTTCATTAAATAACCTCAAAAATAATGCAAATGGAAAACTGGAAAAATACTAAGCTGTCTTCAGATTCTATGAGAAGGAGGAAATAAATTAAAAAGATTTACCTTCCATTTCTACATTACCACACAGAAAATCAAGACAAAGGAGAGGAAATTCTGTTGTTTAAATAATAGGGGTTTTGAATTTTTTCCCTGCAGATAAGATCATCTGCAAATTTGCTTCTTATTTCATTTTTAATCTCTCTGCATTTGAGGGATGGCTAAGGAAATAACATGAAAATTTCTTCTTCGTCTGGGACATGAGTGCTAGGAGTATCCAACCGCTTAAGAACTGGATATGTGTTTTTTTCTTGTTTTGTTAGTAATATAAAATTAAGAAGGGTGTGATAAATAAAGGCAATGACAACCTTTTTTTTTATTTAATGTCAATATGTTTCAGAGCAGTTATGCTTTTTGGCTGCTTTATGACATCTACTTCCTTGTCAGTGTATGTCTTACGAGTTACAATGCTGATGTGCTGAAATCAGTTATGAAATATGTTATTCTCTTTTTTGAATTCTTTGTGGTTTCAGAGAAGAGGGTGTTTTAAAGTGTTGGGAGCTGTAGAATAAGAATATCAATTTTCAAAGTGTCTAAGAAATTTTGCTCAATTTTCAAGTCCTATGATGAGATTTTTTTTTTAAGAATGTAATGAACTTTCAAGGGTGTATCTTATTCCCAAATCAAGTTACAGATTTAGAGGTTACATGTAAAATAAAACACATAGCCTCCCCTCTCCTTTTTTTTATTAATGGAGCTTTAAGCTGCTAAACCACTAAAGTATTTTTGAAAAATATACTTCTTATGCACTTGCCTTCTCTTGTTCTCTGGTAAGAAGAAGTGTTATTAGATGGCCTCATAATGATAGCTAGGGAGATAAACAGTTGAAGAGCTGCTAGGGTACAGATGACAAAATGTGTTTCTCTTGTTCTACAGGACAAGCCCTGGTTTTAGCCCTGTGCTGCACAGTTCTTCTACAGCATCTACCCATTTACTACACCATCTTTGATCTATTAAAGGTCAGATTAGGTGAACGTCTTTTGTCTGGTTGATGTGCCCAAAATACCTGAAGCTTCCTTCTTCATTGCTAAGGACACACATCCATTTGATAAGAACATCATTTCTGGTAGCAAGCAAGCATGGCCTCTGGACTTTTATTTCTGTTCCTTGACTGCTTCTTCGCTGTCTTTCAGCAAAATGTTCTGATGGTACTGCACTGTCCAAACAGGAATATGGTTTCTAAGTTTTCAGGTGCCTAGCTTTTGATTTGTTAACTGTGTGAAAGACTTGATAGTAGGATCCAGAAGGCCTAGCTTTCCTGAGGGCACTGTGCCATACTCAGGCTGGATGATGCAGAGTCTACGCTACTATTCTTGAACAGTCTGAATTGGTTCTGTATGTCTCACTTAAACAGGGCTCTGCCTGGAAATCCTTGCTCTTAGTTGAGACAGTTCTTCTCCCCCTTAGTTCCTCTCTTCTGCTGAGCACCTTGTACGCTTTCATGTGACTGTTCATTAATGTCATCTTGTGGCTGCTTTACATCAGCTAGGTAGAAATCCCCAGTTTCCAGGACTTTTTAGCTCTGCACTCAAGCTCTGACAACTTCAAAGTCTTCTTCATCGCTTTCAGCATGGAAATCTATCTACAAAGCTCTTCTAAATTCCATCAGGTCTTGGCTGACCTTCTTTCCTTGTATCAGACCTTCTAGCATGTCCTCCTTGTGAGCTGCACAAACCTGTCAAGTACATCTCTCAAAGTCAAGTTTTTGCTACAGAGCATGAGATTGGGATGTGACATGGTATATGCTTCAGGAGAACTGCAATACTGAGGTACAATGCTCGTCCGTTGTCTGCTTCCTCTGACAATGTCCTGTTCATCTTGAGCCTCATATTGTACAGGTAGAATATGAAATCTCACAACATAGAGCAGTTGTTTGCCTCAAATATCTGTGACTATACCAAACTTTCCTAAAACGTCCTCAGTGATGGTCTTGTTCTTTTTGACAGACATTCACTACATATGTCCATTTTTTTTCCAATGTTGCTTAGCTTTTATTTGACTTGATCTTAGAACCTTTTGTTTTCTTATGTGTCTTTTGTAGGAGCATAGCTTTGAACAAGACGCATGACTAAAGGACAGACCTGTGAAGCAAGATGTAGTAATCATCAAGTGTTGTAGCTGATGAGTACTCTTCTGGTTCTGTCACTAAAGAGCATGGTGACATTTCTTTCATCCTGCTTTTTGCTGTTTGATGATGATGGCATCTGATATCTTCTTTACCTGTCCACCTGACAGTTGCTTAAAATGTCATGCTGTTGCTCCTAACTTACTCATCAGCAAGGCCATGCTGCCAAATGACCTTATATTCTGAGCTCCAATAGTTACAGATTCCTTTGAAATCATCACAGGCTTTTTTTCTCTTCAGCATACTTCTCTGCATCTGATACCAGCCTGCTAGCCATGTTACCAAATCATGGGAATGAAACCAAGTCAGAGCATTGTCATTCTCTATAGACCTTTGTGTATACTGCTGTTCATTTTGCTGAGGAATTTGGTCTGAAAAATGTTCATATAGTGATAACTCTGTTAAACTCTACTGCTTCTCACCTCATTTTTATATGCTTAGTTCTGTGATCATGCAGAGTATAACAGTGGAATCTAAGGTACTTATGGTTTCTGAAGAATTCAGCCTATTAAAATACCCTGGGGAAATAAGGGTGGTATTTAAATTCTGCAGAACTCATTGTGAAATATACAAGAGTATGTTATCCATCATGTTAAAGAAAAAAAGTTTAAATACATGCTTATATGTTTTTTGCCCCAAAAGCTATGCTGAAAAGTAGCAATAAGAAGGAGGTATTCTGAAGAAAAGGCAGCACCATTAGAAGCAGAACAGTTTGTGAGAAAAAAGCTATTTAATTTTACTGAAGTGTGGTTTTGGTCTATGTAATATCATGTAGGATCTATCCAATCTAAAAAAGAAAATTATCTTCACTTGTTTTAATATAGATCAAATATGGGCTATAGGAAGCACTTACTTGGACTATGAAAAAAAACTTTCATGTGATAGTTAATTAGGTAAGATGCTTAACTATCATTAAGTGAATGAGAGACAACATAAGTCACCAGTCAGAAACTGGGTGGGAAAGTGATTTAAGAATATTCAGTCATTTGTCCTAGTGTATTTAAAATATTTTTTAAAAGCTGATGAGGTTGCAGAAGGCTTCATACTAGGACATTGTTAAGAGTCCATATGAACTGCCTGGAAATGATGAGAAAATAAACCTTGTAGAAAACAACAATGACAAAAAATTAAGTTACTCTAATTCAAGGATAACAAAGTATAAGCTTGGAAGAACCTAAGAAAACAATTTGTTTGAGCAGTGCATTGATAAATTTAACTCAGAGCTAATAAATGGAAAGGAAACTTTTCCCTAGTATAAAAGCTTTAATAGTTAAGTTAGTGTTGTAGGTTTGTCTTCTATACTGTTTTTTCATGGTGTCTTTCTGTTACGATTTTTCATAGCAATGTGTTCATAACTATTTTAAATATGAATTGCTTAGCAAAACTGAAACTTCAATTAAGTGTAGATTTTTGTCAAGTGCTTCCATTAATCAAGCTTTGAATCATAGAGAAGGGAGGTAAGCATGGACTAGCTTTAGAAGAAAAGTGTTTTGCTCACCATGAATTTATTTGAATTTGGGGATATCTTTAGTCATCAAACTTGCACTGCACTGTGAGATGGGTAGCAAGGCTCTGGTTGAATGAGATACCACATTCTAGTAAAATTATTTCTTTGGTTTGGTTGTGGGGTTTTTTTTCCCCAGAGAAGGCAAAATGTGTAGCTGAGTTAAACATATTTACATGCTGAATGTGGCCTACTCAAATTAGCCATGGGACGCTTGCTACATGGTTTTTTATTTAACTGAAATTCAGTTTTGCTGTGAAACTCTGCATTACTGGCAAAATCAGTATTTTGTTCTTCATGTTTTTTTCCAATCTAGTGCTTGAGGAAGTTTCTCACTTTATGCAGTAGGAGTATAGCAGGAAAGAAGAGACAGGTGCTTGTTCTTCAAACTAAATAGCTAACCACCCTATGGCATGATTGTCTGTGCATGCCTTAAAGTTATTCCTAAGAGCAACATTTGAACTAAAAATTGTTACACAATAGAGAAAAGCCAGGTATGTGAGTGGAACTACACTTCTACTTTGCAAGATCATGTCTTCAGAAAGTCATTGCAGAAATCCGTGACTGTCTGAACACCCACAAGATGATTTTTCAGCAGAGACTCACAAAATCATTGAGACTGGAAGGGACCTCTGGAGATAGTCTAGTCCAACCTCCCTGTTTACAGCAGTATCAGCTAAAGTGGGTTGCTTAGGGCCATGTTAAGTCAGGTTTAAAATATCTCCATGGACAGAGACTCCACAACCTGTCTGGGCTACCTGTTCCAGTATTCAAACATCCTTAAAGTAAAAAAAATTTTTCTTACGTTTAAACAAGATTTTGTATATTCTGGTTTTTGCCTCTTGTCTTCACTGGGCACCACTGAGAAGAGTCTGGCTCGGTCTTCTTTACTTTTTCCCATCAGGTATTTATACACATTGATATTATACCCTGAGCCTTCTCTTCTGGAGACTAAGCCTCTCCTTGCTTTACAGGTGCTTACACAGACTTTCAGTGAACTCACTCAGGTGTGTCTGCATCTTTCTTGTGCTGGGAAGCCCAGAACTGGATGTAGCACTGCAGTGCTCAGTAGACAGGTCTAACCAGTGGTCTCACCAGTGCTCAGGAGAGGTGAAGGATCACCCCCCTTGATCAGCTGGCAGTGCTCTACCTAATGCAACCCAGGATGCTGTTGACCTTCTTTTGCCACAAGGGCATGTTGCTGAGTTGTATTCAACTTCTTGTCCACCCAGGTCCATTTCTGCAAAGCTGCTTTTCGGTCAGTCAGCACCAGCCTGTACTGCATGGGGTTATTCTTCCTCAGTTTCCCTTTGTTGAACTTCATGTTCCTGTCAGCCCATTTCTCCAGTCTGTCAAGGTCCCTCTGAATGGCAGCATAACCATCTGGTCTATTAACTACACATCCCTATTTTATCTTGTCTGCAAGCCTGCTCTGCCCCATCATTCAGGTCATTAATGGAGATGTTAAACAGTATTGACCCCAACGTCAAACCCTGATGTACATCACTAGTGACTGGCCTCCAGCTGGACTTCATGCCAACAATATTTTGAGTCCAGCAGATCAGACAGTTTTCTATCCACCTCACTGTCCACTTACCTAGTCTGCGTTTCATCAGTTTGTCTTTGAGGATGTTATGGGAGACAGTATCAAAAGCTTCGCAAAAGTCAAGGTAGACAATATCCACTGCTCTCCCATCATCCACTGAGCCAGTCATCTCACTGTAAAAGGCTACTGGGTTGATCAAGCATGATCTCCCCTTTGTAAATCCGTGCTGGCTACTCTCAATCACTTTCATGTCCTTAATATGTTTAGAAATGGCTTCCATTAGGAAGCCATTTGTTTCATCACCTTCATAGGGATCAAGGTCAGGCAAACTGGCCTGAAGTTCCCCAAATCCTCCTTCTTTCCCTTCTTGAAGGTAGTACTGACACTTGTTTTCTTCCAGTCCTTGGGAACCTCCCCCAGTTGCCATTACCTTTCAAAAATAAAGAGCGGTTTCACAGTGAGAGAGGCAGCTCTCTCAGCTGTTATGAGTGCATGCCATCTGGTCCCATGGACTTGTGTACGTCCATTTTGCTTACATGGTACCTGACCTGATCCTCCCATACCGAGGGTAGGTCTTCATCACTCCAGACTTTCCCACCAGCCTCAGGGCCCTGGGATTCATGTGGGCAAATGTTGCAAAGAAGGCACTGAGTACCTCCTAGAGCCCCTTGAGTCCCCTCGAGACCTCAAGTTCTGTTTTACTGAGCAGCCTTGGAGCAAGTGTGTCTTTGTTTACTGTTACTGTAGGTGTCAGAAATGGATTAAATGATTGGTTTTGTATATTTGAAAGTGAGGGTTATTTTCTCACCTGAGGAGTTTGTCTCAAAGTTCTAGAAAGGACACTGACATTTTCGTCATCGCACAGCAGTGGCTCTGCTGTGTGTCCATATGGCAGTCTGTCCAGTCCAGACTTCTGTCCCCACTAATGCACAAGACTGGGCTCTTTGGAGGAAAGAATGAGAAACCCAAACTGGTCATTCCTTACCCAACCATTAGTCCTGTGGCATAAAATTTAGAGCCCATCAAATTCAGGTAATTAACTATGAATATTCTTGTTAGATAGGATTAACATTTTGATAGATCATTCTTTAAAAACATCTTTCCAGTTTCTTGATTTCAATTGTATCAAGCAACAATGACTTCCAGTGTACTGTTTTCTTTCCTGTTGACAATAGGAGCGTTCCTTGTATACCCAATGTTTTTTTAGTTTCATTGACTATATTCTTATCTTTTGTACAAGGTAAATAAGACCATCTTACTCACCTTTTCCTATTCCATTTATTATTTCTCTTTCATGCAGCATTTTCTGTGCATTTTTTATGAATTAAATCATGCCTTTCTCTCTTCATATGTCAGTTGTTCCATGACCCTGCTCACTTTTAGTCGTCTGTCTCTGCTCATCTTTTTATAAATATTATTAATCTTGTCATATTTAATAAGAAAACATACTGATTCTACAAATTGATTAAATCTTTAATTATTTTTCTGTGCGGGTATGTGCATCCTCCAAGTTTCCACAATGTGGAATATTTATGTAAAAGAGTTTGAGTTATAATTCCATTTTTTAACAAAAAGCATTTTAAATGTTCTCTATGAGCACATTAATCCTTCATGTTTCTAAACTACTTCTAGCTGCCTACTGGTGCAGGAAAAGTGTGGCTGTTGCTTGGTTTCTAAGGTGCTTTTTAAAAATTATTTTATGTTTTTTTAAGTGTGGGAAACAGAAGATAAGAAAGAGAAGTGAGATTTAAATTAGAGGGAAGCCTCATACTCGGGAAATCTTGGAATCAGGTGTTTATTTTTACATACACTTTGTGGTTTTAGAAAATTAGGTTGCAATTGTTTTAGTTCTTTCAATAGCATCATATTTCATAATCAGTGCTGCAACTAGTATGTTTGGTTATTGAATACCTGGCTATGTCTGTATTTTACTATAGTGGAGAACTAAAGGGAAAGGTATTGTCACACTTACTAAAAAGTACTGCTTTTCTGTTGCAGTGTAAGACCTGCTCAGAGCCAAAACAAATAACTAGTTCCTCTGCAATTTATAACAACCCCAACCTAATCAAACCAATTCCAGTGAAGCCTAGTGAAAATCAGCATCAACGAATATCTCAGCAAAGCAAGGTAAAATGTTTTGTGTGTTTTCTGACTAGTGCTGTAACCGTGTAGGAATATTTGAGTCGGAAGGTCAGTGCAAGAATTTGAGGTGGAACCATTCTGAGGAATTATTTTAATGCAAAACTAATGTTTTATAAAAAGCTCCCCAGCCCCCACCATATGATGTGGAAGCATGTAAATTAAAGACATAGTATCCTGATGCAACAAAGAAATACTAGTCTTTCAAATTTCAGATACTGCTTTGATTGCAAGCTGGTCTAGTCAATTGCTGGACCACAGTTAGTGTGTTCTTTTTTTTAGGTGAATTTGGTTAATCTAAATAAAGAACAGTCTCTTGATATATCTTCAAGCTAAATCACACTGCAAAATCCTAAAAGCTGAATTCAGCTGTGACAGGGAGACGCACAAGAAGTGGCCCTACTTCATACATGGGGAGATTTCTGTTACTAATATTGTACTGATAGCTGAAAGGGAAGATGCTCTTTCATGGTATTTAAAGTAAAGCCACTGCTCTCTCTCAGATTCACTGATTTTCTCCCACATTAGCAGCTTGACAACTGTCTTTTTGCCCTTCCTATGTGACAAAACTATTAAAAATCCTCTTGGGAGGAAAACACATAGCAGTTTCTCAGCTTTTCCTTGAATACTGCTGGCTAAATATTGTCACCACTTAATGTAACTTATGCATGAGGGAACTACATTTACTTTTTTCCTCTGTCCCCTCACAGAATGTGGATTCTGAACCACAGCACTTGTCTTTGACAGCACTGTTTGGAAAACAAGAAAAGCCAGATGTCTCAGAACCACTTAATAAACAGCACCAAGAGAATCTTCCTGTTAGGCAGGGTGTGGTACGTTCCCTATCCTATGAAGAACCTAGCAGGCATTCGCCCTCTGCAGAGAAACAGCTTTGCCCCGCCATTCAGAAGCTTATGGTGCGTGGGACAGACCTTCATCCGCTTGCTGAGTTTCCTGAGAACCCACTCTGTGAAAATGGCAATATCCACCCTGTGGGTGAGAGTTTCACAGGACTCTTCCAACCTGTGAATTCTCATGGTATTGCAACATCTCATGTAGTTCAGGATACTGCTGGCACTCAGAGCCTATTACAGAAATTACAGAGTCAGTCAGGGTCAGTGACTAAAATGGACCCCGGTGCAACAGGATCTGCGAACTCGACAGCTTCTGTGTTCAGCAGGACTCCTGCTGCTGTTGGAGCACCAGCAGCAACAGTAAATAATATGAGCCAACCACCTTTGGTGTATTTCAATGGTTCCCTACCAGGCCAGACTTTAGAGTCTCAGACACTTGGTAAAGAACAGTCTAAACTTCCTAGACAGCCGCTTTCTCTCTCTGGCAATCAAGCAGCCAATTCTGGGGTGATTTCACCTCAAGAGTTACTGAAGAAACTCCAGATAGTGCAACAAGAACAACAGTTGCATGTATCCAGCAGACCAACCTTGGCAGCTAAGTTTCCTGTTGTTACCCAGAATACCAATACGCTGAAACCACTGGAATCCTGGATAGAAAAGGCACCAGGTACAGAAAAACAGAGCACTCTTCTTCAGGTAAATGGGAAACTTCAACATTTAAATAAATAAATAAAAACCTAGCAATCTTTTGAACTTGGTATTTTGTAAGGTTAGTCTTTGTTTCATTTTGGCCAGTTTGTCCTTGTTATTATCTTACCACATGTTGCACATCATTCATTTTGCATGTGATAATTTAACAACATCAAGTAAGTTCTGATTTACCAAGCTGTGATATTGTAAATACTGAAGGCTACATCTCTTGCAAATCAATAATGACCGAAAATACTGCAATCTTGGGTTTTTCCAGAGGCACTTTGAAAAGTCACCTAGTTTTCAGTTGCCATACCTCAGGCTGTTTTGTGTAATTGCTGGTTACTGAGTGTAATATTTTGGGTTTAATAATTTTTCTTACAAAATTAGTCATAGCTTTCTCTGTGCAGGTATACATTCCTTTGTATGCCAGTTGCTAAAGGTGCTTAAAAGGTCACTTATTTTCTAACAGCAGATTTTTTAAGTACATGTATATCAATTAATTAGTTATCTTGTACTGTAACTTCTAGCTATTCATTAGTTATTTTTTTTATTGCTATGTATTATTTTGAAAAAAGGCCTTGTGCCTGAATGCCTTCAAAAAAACCAAAGCCCTTAATTCTGGAGATTGTGACCAAAAAAGTCAGATTGGTGTCTTAAAAAATTCAGGAGATGTCAAGAGACTGTGTCTCTCTCATGACTGCATTTTTCTGTTCTTTAGAAGTATCATGTGCAATTACAAAATGTCCCATCCTGGACAACTGCTGTCTTTGCTAACAGCTTCATTTTCTGTAGGATCTTCTACACTTGAATGTCTGTAAATGTCCTGTTTGGGGATGCAGCTAAGCCACTTTTAACGTCCTTTATTGTGGACAGACTGTACACAAGACTTGTGTTGTACTGGAGTCTGACCTGTATTGGAGTCTAGAAGTTACTTATCTGAATGAAAAAGCATTCACCTTTTCAATGTAAAGTTCAAAAGCTGCTTTTCTATTGCAGCTTCTTAAAAACCTGAGTGAAAGACTACAGAATACTTCAGCATGCTCCAAGAATCCTCCTTATTCTAGAAAGTTATCCTACACACAGAGATGCTGAAACAGTCATTTAACAATTAAGGGCCACATCCATCACTAACACTGTTACAGGTCAAGATTTCTCATCTGTGAGAGAGGTCAGAGGAAGATCAGTTTGATATAGCAAATAGCCATCATTATTTTTATTCTTTTAATTAAAGCAGCATGACTTTTTGAATCTGTGTGAAAGAGTTTTGGGGGAATTAGTCATTGAAATTATTCGGGATCAGTTGCTTACAGATGGTAATCTGACTTTCCAGGGGAGTGCTAATGAATAAAAAGAGGATCCAGAGTCACAAAAATTTACTTCTGTTTTCACTGGGAATGGAACTTGCCTGCTATAAATGAAAGAAATTGTCTGATTCACTGGTACATGTACTGATAGCATGGAGACATAAGACATTTCTACTTTGAAGCTAAAAGTAAAATGAGGCAAGTGCCAGGCTGTACATTATAAGTCAGTATGCATAAATAAAAAATGGCAAATATGCTGATATATTTTCAAATGAAAAATCCATATAGATGCTGATATGGCTAATGACTTTGTATATATTTGAAAAAGAAAATGATGCCAACATTAGTTGCAATATGGAAAGGGAGTTACTGACATAATGCAATTTCAATAATTTTACTGCTTGAGTACGAATAGAACAATAGCTTGTGAGAAGAGAAGTAGTCTTCACTGGAGCAAGTCTCATTCACTGTGACTATTGCTGCAAGTTTGCCTTAAAAAAAAAAAAAAAAAAAGCAGCAGCTAAGGAGGCTCTCAGTCTCGCTTTGCATGGCTGTGAGCAGAGCACGTAGATGAGACTGCCTAGGAGTGGTTTCACAGATTGACACAGCCACAGCTGCTATCAAAACAGTCTTAGGTGCAGTTCTTCCAACACTTTTAGTATGGCTTATGAGATTTAATATATAGACTAAAAATGATAATGAAAGTAGGCCTAATTATTGTTTAGGACACCTAAAACTCTGCAATCTGGAAGGAATGGCCTCTTTCACATGCAGCAGATTGCCAAAAAAGAAAAAGGGGAGAAGGCTAAAAATGAAGGAACGAGTCTGTGTTCCTGTAGAATGCCATGAATTAGCCACATGAAATATGCCTACTTTTGAAAAAAAAATTAGAAGGTAAAAATTTGAAACAACTTTTAAAACCAACGTTAATCTTTTTATATCATCCTTGCTGTAGACCAGAGGCTTTAAGTGCTGCCATGCCTGCAGACATTCGAGTGAAATTGAATTGGCACAAATATATCTGCACATGCTCATGCAAAATTGATCAAAGCAGATTCTGACAACAAATGCAGCAAAAGGTTTGTTCTCTGTAATTATTTATCTTTTGGTATTGCCTCTCTACTACAATTCAGCATACAGAAAAAGCAAATTCTAAAAAATCTGACAGGAATAGAGAGGTATCTGGACAGTGTCTGTTGCTGGAAAAATTGTATTAAAGGAACACCCTAAATCCATCAGCAGCACTAAGAATATGAAAGCCATAGTCTTTTCCACAATTGACATGTTACGAGTCCAAGTTTAAATTGGCTTCTGCTGCATTTCCATATGGTGTAAGAACTGTGATCTCCCACATAGAGAGGAAGAGACCAGTTACAAAAAAAAAAAAAAACCCAACAAAAAAAACCCCCACAACCCAGAAAAAAAGCAAAAGCTGAAGAATAATACTTGGAAGCATTCAGTCTGGTGTGGTGCCAGCTCTATTTGATGAAGTATTCCTTATGTGGACAGTGAGTAACGTGTGCTTAAGATGCAATAAAAAAGCATTAATCTGCAGTGGACTTTTAAGCATATGCTTAGCATTAGGTGTGAGTTATCCTGATTATAGATACATGCATGCTTAAGTGTTTATGTTAATCAGAATTTGGTTTTTAAAGTGCTTGCAATAACCTTGACACAAATTTATCTTTTCTTCAGAAGGTCACTTATCTTACAGCCCTTTTTTCTCATCTCTTGGAGCATTTTGCATCAAGAATGTATTTTTTACATAGTGTTACATCTTCTGAATATGTGCATGGTACCTAGTATCTTTGGTGTGAGCATCGTGCCATTCATTACCTCTCAATTGTCCTGACTGCAGTTTCAGCATGAGATTTAAAACATGCACGGGAGGAATGCAAATAGGTACATTAAACTTGTTTTGAAAAGTAATTTAAGATTCTGTAGTTAAACATCAATTGAAAAATTCTGAATTAAACTTGAAAGACAAAGCAATGTTAGCATTATAGCCAGGTTTATTTTAGTAGTAACCGTCTTTAAAGTTCCTGAACTATTCTTAGATTAAATGTTCTCAGTTTTAAGTAATGCCACTAAAAACAGATAGAGGCCTACAGCACCCACCAGATGCTGATGTTCCAGAGGGGCACTTGACGCACATGGGATTCTGCGCATGGAGGAAGCAACAGAGGGTGCCAGTTTGCATTACGGGAGATCCAGTGCATTCCTTAGTTCATGGTGTTATGTGACTTTGCCAGCTATCGTGTCACCTAGCTGCCAGCATCCATGCAGAATATCAAACAGGTATCTTAGCATTTGTGCTTCAGAGAAGGAAAACTATATGTTACAATGATTATTTTGCACATTTTTCATTGTTCTTACTTCACTGCTGCACAACTGATGGTAGACTCCTACTGTGTTATTAGTGACTCAGAGATTTAAGTATTGACCTGATAAAGCTGGAGATAATTCAGTAGAGGCTGGATGAACAAGCACATCAGTTTAGATTCTGTGGGAAAGAAGTTGATCAACAGCATTTTGGAAGGGCTGTTATGTCTTGTGAGAAATTACTCAAAGCTAAAAGATTGGCCCAAAGGCTATTAATGTCCCTACGGAGCATTTTCAGTGATTTCAGCAAAAGCATGGTGCTATAGGAATTGCACTAGTATTGCCAAGATCAGCATCCCATTTTCAAGTAGGTATCAGTTGTCCCAGTGACTGAAGGTGATCTGAGCTAAATCTAAAACAAAAATTTGCCTTTATGTTTTTTAAAAAAAACCATGTTGTTTACGTAAAAGTTTAAGTGGCAGAACCTTTGAGTATGAACTGTTAGCAGGAATATACATTTTAATGTTTGCATACAGAAACAAATGCTATGCACTTAAAAAATGATACATATATTTTCTATTCTTCTGACACAAATATTTTAAGTTTTACAGTAACCTGTATATATTAGCTGTGTCACCAGTAGATGGCAATATTGCTTATTCCATATAGTTTCCATATGCTTGGCAAGTCCTACCAAAAAGCTGTTTCTATCCAGAGAAAACAAATAATTTTTCATATGTCTTTTAAACCACAACATGTATAAGTGTTTGACAGTAGTAACTGTACATTATTAAGAGCACAGTTTGTCTTGGGTTTTGTTTATTTGCCTTGGACTCTAGAGAGAAGTGGTTTTTGATTTTGAAGGACATGCCATCTGGGTCTTTGACACAGTCTGTTGTAGATTCAGCTATATTAGTGGGACAGTTTATCTCCTCCAGCTGCTCACCACCATCCCTTTGCTGGAGGTTCCTACCCTTGGAGAGCAGTTTGTATATGCATTCTTTAAATCGCATTAGGAAGAATCATCTGGTTTAAGCAAACCCTGCCAATTTTCCTTGAGGTAAATTAAAGAGAAGTTACTTCAGCAGCATGGGTGAGTAGAGCAGAAACATTGTGATAAGCATCTGCGGGTAGTCAATCTTCCACAGGCAGGAGAACAATCTTCTCACTTACAGGAGAACATCTGTGCACAGTCTGAAGGTCTCGCTCCAGAGAGGGATGTCACTTTGGACTTAAGTTGGTTTTCTTCTGAAATGAACATTGTTTTTCAAGCATAGTTGCACAAACATATGCACTACCTTAATTTTGAAGCAAACTTACAATGAGTTAGGAATACCTTAACTCAGTCAGGAGCTTGTAACACAGACCTGATGATTGCTGTTATGATTACATGCCATGGGGTAGGAAGAAGGCTGTAGGTCAAGAGTGTTGTTTTTAAGTAGTACTCTATTTAGGAAACAAACAATATTTACCTAAAACATAAACTGGGAGATTTTTGCATTAGGTGCATATTGCATGTTTTCTAATATCCATGAGTCTTTCCTGACACCTAGTCTTTCTGCTTCCTTAAATCTTGTGTAAAACAGCATGAGATCTCAATCCTCCTCATTTCTATTTCTCTTTGTATTGTAGTCTAACTAACATTGTTCAGAAATGTCTTGGGTAGAACAATCATAACTAGGAGTAAGACAAGCTACAAAAATATGAATGTTCTTTAATATTGCACTATGTTGTTTTGCATACCTAGGAGATAAACTCAGTTTTATTTTCTTAATTTTTCTTAAAAATTGAAATGTAACCAGGACACAGAGTGAAGGGATTCAGTAGCCTTTCACCATCATACAGTAGCAATAAATCATGCTCCAGTCCAAAGGAGAGGAGCTTTGGTAAGCTCATATCAATTCCTTTGTATGTTCTGTTCTTTGAAAAAAAGATAGGATACTTGAATAGCAAGGAGATGGCTGATTAGGACTAAGATTTATTACTGGAATTACCTGGAGAGAGCTCTAATATCTGCAAACTAAGTGAATACACTTTGTTATGTTGTATGTTATATCTGATAGTATTTGCTAGTCCTGTATATTTTACCGTTCCAAGACGCATTGCAAAATTTAAAAGCAAAAATTCTTTGACACATATCTTTGCAGGTTGCATGGATATGATACTGAGGGACCTTGCAGAACTACTGCAGTATCAAGGTTTTCGTTCTCTTTGAGGGCCTTTTTGGTTTTGTCAATTGCGTGTTGGTTAGGAGTCAGTTCTGTTTCTGACAGTGCCACCAGCTCACTGTGGCTCTTACGATAAATTACTTAATCTGTTTTCTTTCCCCTCTCCTTAAGTAAAATGAGAAGAAAAAATATATACATATGTATTTATTTATAAAGTAATTTGAAAGTTATAATTGGAAAGTACTTTCTAGTATTAGGTACAAAGATTAGTCTTTAATAGTGATATTTGCATGTAAGTATATTGTCAAAGATTAAACTTAATGACTTACTGTCACTATGTAGAAGACTTTACAGCTGCATTCTCTAAGAGTGCTGATATTTAATAGTAGTCTGATTTCTGTAATAAAATGCTCTCGCCCTAAGATGATTTGCCTATCCAACAGACTTAATCACACTTGTGAATCCATTGCTGCAGTCTTAAATTGGATGGAAGACCTTTTAATCTGGAAATAGATCATATAAGTGGTGCTGAGCTGGAGTTTCACCTAACTGTATTGATCTCCAGCAGTCTCTGTAACTGTTGCCAATCAGTCTGCAGTTTTCATCATCTTTATTCCCACAGAATTAAGTAGATAGGTTTAACTGATGGCTTTATTTTCATATGGACAGGTAATCTCACCACAACGCATTCCTGCCACTGTGACTCCTACCTTGTTGATGTCCCCAATGGTGTTCACTCAGTCCACACCTGCTCCACCAAAAGCAAATGAAAGTGGACGGTTAGCAGCCGCAAACCAAGAACCTGCTGCTAGCTCAGCTAGCCTTCTCCTGCCACTGCAAACCCCAGAGCCATCTGTGGTCAACAGCAGCTCAATGACAAAGTTGCAGCTCCAGGAAACGCTTCTACACCTGATCCAGGTAAAGTGCCAAGAATTCTCCTACTTCGCTTAAAATCCTGATTCCCGTTTTGATATAAGCACCCTATAATCGGTTGCATCCGTCTGTCTAGAGGCTACATGAGTAATTAAAATATATGTTGAACGTTGTGCTACTTAACGGCTGCGTGTTAACGGAGCACTATGGTGTAGACTGGGGATGTGATAGCCTCTCCCTGCACACTGCTGGCTTAACTGCATTTTGATTAATGCATCTGATTTTGGATTCAGGAAAGATAATAAATTTGACAGAAAAGAACAAAGATGACCGAAACCTTCATAAGGTCATCTTATGAGCCAGAGAGGTATCTATTATATTTTTAGCTAAGGATAAATAGTGGTCGATTATCCTAGCTGCCAAATATTTCAGAGATGCATGTTAGCAGTAAGAGGAATTCAGATGGGAAATTAAAATTGCAGGATGAGTGTGAGCAACTTTAAAGTATGGGTTAGATAACCTAAGAATATACTAGTTCAGTTTATTCAATGTAATTCTCTAGTTCAAATGCTAAAATTCCTTTTGCTGCAGTTTTTCAGGTTTAAATGTGACAAAGCGTTACCAACATCATGTATGAGATGATTGTTTACTGCTTTGGGATTATATGAGTGATTATGAATATTTTTTTCCTTAACTTGCCATGTGATGGATATCTGAAGAGTAGACATTGAGGACAGATTATGTAACTAAAGACCTGGCTACAAAGCACAAGGAATAGAGACGCAGGTTTAAGGGTCCAATTTGTAGGCCAAAACTATGTGCCTGTATGGCTTTGGAATAAAAAGAAAAGTCATTACTGAAACGTTGAAGTTACTTGAAATGCAATTTCAGTTATAGACCCAGAAAGAAAATAGTATCTTTAACAAATCAGAGGCTTTTCTCATTTTCCCCTGCACTTGTAGTTTGGGATTAAAAAATAAAAATATCACGTTATCCTGTCTTTATATACTTTGAGTATCTGGATAGTAGTAAAACCATATATGAAGTTAAAAAAGAAACTAGTCAAGGAAAATTGGATTTACTCGTATATCTGTCCCTGCTGTTCTTGGTGATAGTTAGGATTAAGTGAGTTACCTGGAAATTATTTACTTCCAATTTCTTACCTGTTATTTTCCATTATATAAAACCGCAATCTCGAATGCTCCTGATTTTCCTCAAATAGTATCTTGATTTTAATTATCCTCATATGTTCATGTGAACTACTTAGGACATTCTTTCTTAATGTGGGTTGACCATTCTTGCAAAATGATCTTCAGGAGCAAAAAAGTTAAACAAGCAATAAAGAAAAATGAGCAGCATCAATTAGGAGCATTAAGTCTAAAAGAGTTAAACAAGATGCAAGGATTTGCCCAGGTGGGATTTAGTATAGGATCAAAACCCAGGGTGTTTCACTGCTCCTTCAGACATGCTTGGAATTATGACTGACCTAATGGAGGAAACTACTTAAGGAAATCCCTAGGTAAATGAGGGCAAAGAGAAGAAATTACAGGGTTGTATCGTCACTGTATTATCATGCAAGAGTTAAATTCACTGTGAGTTTGGAAAATCTGCTTTCTGTGTACTCGTTACTTCTTACAGAGATACAGTCATGTTTGCTGCAGTAAAGTTGATATTCACGTCCAATTCTTCTAAGGCTACTAGCAAGGCATGGAAATAATACATGGTTTTGGTAAAGGAAATAGCTTTCCTATTGCTCACACTTTAAAATAGAGTAAGGTTGAAAAGTATCTGGTCCATGAAATGGAAAAATTTTCTAATCTCTTCACTCAAAACGCCTCTCGTGCACTAACAATTACCTGTTTTGTTTTTCAGAATGATGACAACTTCTTAAATATTATTTATGAAGCATATCTCTTCAGTGTGAGAAAGGCGGCAATTAAAAAGTCTCTGTGAAAGATGATTTTTAAATTCAATTACTATTGCTTCCTGAACTCCAGGAAAAAGGTTTCAAATTTTTCAAGTATGTTTATGTTTAAAGAAATGAATGGTCTTAGGTATTTTACATACACATAGATTTTGCTTGTTGGCAACTACATGCTGTACTGAGAAAGAAGTGAGCAGAAACAGATTGTGCCTTTAGGGAGCGGAGTGTCACGATACTGAAGACTTAATCACAAAATATTTAAATTATTTTTCTTATATTGGTCCATACTTAGAATCGGTTTCCCTGCATAAGGAATCAGTTTCAGAATTCAGTTTCCTTTTTTACTTGCAGCGTGGTTATTCATTGACTAGGTATTTGTCATGGATTTTCTCTGGGAGACGTCACATGCAACTGTCCCGATGAACGTGCCCATCTCTGACCACATGGTGGCAATGTTGGACTGTTCTTAGGAACGTGAAAATCTGGGTGAAATCTTGGAAGGGAAAGTCTTGGTCAGGCTGATCTATCATCGTACTTAGTTGTCTGCAAAGCAATTCAGAAGAAATGTCATGACTTCCCCAAAAATTTTGTAGAAAAATCTTTTTCTATTTTAACAAGAATATTTTTAGCTAGCTGTAGAAATGGGACTCTGCAGGTGTTTTGAGGAGTTGGGGGGAGGGTTTGTTTGTGAATGTACTCACTGTCAACATAGCTCTGGGGTGGCACTGGATTCATGTTTCTATTATTCCAGATCCAATCTGCATTATTATAAGCAATGTACAACTTTGTTAAGGGGAAGGCTACTGGGTGTAAAAGTCCTATTAATTTTTATTTTTAGTATGTTCCTGGAGCACAGCGATTTCATTGGTCCATTTCTAAAGAAAATAAAATGGATAATCGCTAGTATGTGCTGATTTCATTTTATTGTACCATGGGCTATGTATTTAGAATTGTTGGGTCACTTGTATTTGTATGACTTTAAAATGTTTTTACACTTGGCGGAAGACACATGAGGTTTTAAATCAATTAGAATAAATGACTGAAAGGAATTTTATGTATATTTTTATTAGCATCTGCTGCTGAAGTGCTAGTTTACTACAGTTTAGGAACCCAAAGTTATTGCTGAGGAGGCATTTCTTTTGTGAGTGCAGAGAATCCAATCTGTAATCCATAAAGGAGTATACAATATTCTTTACTATGGGCATTGACGTAGGTACAACTCAGTAGCCTCATCTGTGAAAGTTCTTCAGTGTAAATTAGGGTGCACTTTTAAAGTAGTATAGTCGTAATGATTTCAACAGTTCCCCCAACCCCCCATACATCTGGCTTTCTCTAGTGGAAGAGTGTGATTTTGGGGGGCAAGTGGATTTGCTCACATTCCTTGGGAAAGGCTCTAAATCAATATTTAAAAAAAAAAAGTCAAGAGCTACTTTCTTTATACACAACTGAATAACCCCAAGAGACTTGTGCCTACAAAACTGCTAGACTTTTCCTACACTAAGTAGCTCGTAGAAAGCAAGTTGTATTCTAGTTCCATTTTGTTACAAAATTGTTTATGATTCTTGCAGATTCAGTGAGAAGAACATGTTGAGCAGATACCAGGAAGGGCAGACTTTAAAGATAGCAAATCCGAATTCTAATCCTGTGGCTGTAATAATTTATGTAGCCATTAAAATTTATGGGATTCTACTGAGTTAATTGGTATTATTTCTGAATGAACTGGTGTGGAAGAAATTGGAATCTACACAAAAGAGTTTGTATGAAACTAAATACATGCATAGTTGGTGTCTGTGATGCTGGGTTATCTGAGAGTGCAATTTAAAGATGATGGGGACACATAGTTAAGACCTCATTTGACATGTAGAACTTCTGTAATTGGTGGGTAGAAATAATCCTTAAGCATCTCAAGCTGTGTTTGTGATAGGTTTTTTAGTCATGGGGGAAACATTTTTATTTACAAAAAAGGCAAGTAGAAATTTTAAAAACATCCTTATTTATTGCTTTTCAGAGTAACGTATCATTTACAAAAATTAAAGGTATGTTTTTGAAAACATCTTCTATTCACTCTTGGAGCTTATGACAACAGTAGCATTAGCACTATCCTTGACAAGCTGAGCCTTATCTTAAAGCAGACAAGGATAGAGCTAATTCAGGGTTTCTTCTCACTGCCATCTCTTCTGGTTACATCTACACCAAGTAACACTGACAGAGTTGGATTTCTCTCACTGTATTATGCTATAAGGGATTTCTGGGATTGTTCAGGAGGCATAAACTTGCCTTTTGTGGAGTGAAGAAAAGAAGGATAGTTGCTAAAGAAGGGAGGTGCTGTTTTAGCTGACTTGCATGCTTACCAAGAACAACAGAGGTAAGAAGATAGAACAGGATCAGAAAGAAATTGTGAATTTCATTACAATGAACAGAAGAGGAAAAGTAGTGAGAGAATTCTATTGAGAAATGAAGCCAAACATTTCGTCTAGGTTTCCATTTCAGATGGTAGGCTCTGCTTCTTAGGAGGCATTTGCGCATTGGAGATGGAGCTTGGAATCATACTGGAGTGTAAAACTGTGCTGTGCCCCTTTCTCTCTTCTTTCTACTACAAACTGTCTTGGAAACCTGTGTCAGAAAAAGGCTTTTTTCCAGAAATATAGTTGGAGCCTTCCAGTACCATGGAAAAGCTGGAGGATCCTCACGTAATACTGAAAACTTAATCTCTGCTTTTTTTATTGTGTTTTGTTTAATAGCTTTTTTATCAGCTGGGACTGTCTCTTTATGCAGCCAGATCTGTGCATGATACCAAAAAGTTTATTTTGGGTTTGATAGATGACCTCTGAACTAGAGTGGTTCTGAACACTCGGGTTCCCCTATTGGTTTTTTTGTTTGTTTGTTTTGGGGTTTTTTTAAGACACTGTTAGAACTAGGGAGCCCTTAAGCTAGTAAGACCTTTAGAGAGGTAAAGGCCACAGCCGTTAGGATTGCCTTTCTTTGGGTCTGTTTTCTTTTTTATCTGAAAAAGAAAAAAAGGTAGCAAACAAAAAATCAGAAGGTATGTAAGGATCACATTAACTCTGCTTTAGATGCTTCCACAGTATGCATGTGTAATATTTTTTTATTGTCTGTGTATTTTGTAATATATTGCTGATTTTGGGTTGTGGGGTTTTTTTCTTCCAGTAGAATAAATACTTTGTAAATTGGGGCTTAGCAAGAATTCCAGAAGTTGCAGCAGTGCTTTATGCATTAATCCCAGTCTCAGCATTGAATTGATATTAGTTTTCAGTGTAGTTCCACTTAACCACTGTCCACTTCCTTAGAAGATTACACAGCTATTAAACTAGAGTGAGAAGGCAAGGAGTAGAAAGTCAGTGAAATAGTGAAGCATAATCTCTGTCAGTGTTTATCATGGTAATCCATAATATTCAGTGAAGGCGTCCAAATACTTGCTCAGGACCTTCTCACAGAAAATTCAAATTCTTAATTTGATTTTTATTCATTAGCTTTCTGTTGCTCCTCTATTTACTCCTCCTTGTTGCAGCTGCAAGGGTGATAATTAAAATTTTACAGCAAAATAAAATTTACAGGAGCAGGATGCAGCTGAATAGGCAGGATGCTTCGTCTCCTCTGACAGCCTATTTAAAACGTGTCGAGCATTGAATTTCAGTCATAAAAGCGGTGAGTATTTGAGATATCTTTGTCCCTTTAGGATATTAAAATAATAGTTTAATATTTTAGCAAATATGGAGATCTTTGCTGAGGAAAAGGCAAAATTAAAAGACATTTTTCAGTAAGCATTTGAGCCTCTAATGTAGAATATGTTATGAGATGGCAGCTTTAGCCAGAGGGATCCCTGAAACCTAGAAAAAGGCAAAATTCTAGTCCCAGAGATGAATAATGCACTAAAAAATTAATCCTCAGTCAACCTACAGTAAACTTTACTGCTAATCCTAAGGACTTTTAAGAGACTCTTACAAGTCCTTGCCTTTTCCAAACTGCTACCGATATCTCTAACAAGCTTGTTCTGGCCTCTAGATGTAAATCTGTGCACAGCTGAGTTGAGATTATAGGAGGAGGGAGCTTAGCATGTACAAACAAGAGGAAGAAAATGTGGCTCTGCAAGACACTGAAGAAACAAAGGCTGTAGCTTTATAAATACTTCAAGCTGGCTCTGCTGCTGCTGAGGCAGCCTGTCCCAGCCACCCACTCCTAGCTGCTCATCCCACACCAGTCTTTCCTTCCTTTTTCCTTTGTTTTTCTCCTTTTTTGTTTTCATTAAGATGGCTACATTGTAAAATGTGTTGCAGCAGAATTAGTTGAGGTTAAGACTCCCTGCATGCTGAGATTGGTTTTAACCTGGATGACTTCAGTGGGCAGCAGCCCAGGCACCTGTATCGCTGTATGGATGGGGTGTGCAGCTGTGGGGGTAAGTGGGTGGGATGTGGGGAGAGGGAAGTGGGGCAGGAGACTTGAGCTGCAGTACTGCCTTAAACTGACTTGAAGCTTTTGTGAAACTGTGATCTAAAGGCCTTTGCCTCTTCTCTGACATTAAGGCTCGGAAGATGCCACAAAGATCAAAATGTGACTTCATTGTTATCCCCTACCTTGGCACTGTGTGGAAGTCTGTGAAAGTGTTTGCAGATACCCCCACAAAGGGTAGCTACTGTGCATGAGCCTAATCTCTCCAGGCTGTCTGCAGAGCCAGTGGAAAGACAGGATCCGCTTGAGGGCAAGTCTCAGTACAAACCTAATTTAGCTTGGGAGATTGGATTGACTGGGCTAAAGTTAGCCTTTGCAAACACCTTCCCCACCACCACCAGCTTGAACTGAACCAGTACGGACATCAGAGTCAGCCCCTACCTTTCCTCACAATATGGCAGATGTTTGGGTGAATTTTCCCTTCCTTTTTTTTTTTTTTTTTTTTTTTTTTTTTTTTTTTTTTTTTTAAATTTAATGGAGATTGTACCATCAAACCTGAACAGACTGTTCAGATATAAATCTGCCCAGCATGGAAGTGAATGTGAAATGCAGGAACCAGATTGCTTTTGTATGTGTAGCTGAAAAAGCTACTGAAACAAGCAGGAAATAAGCACTGGAAAGATAAAAAGGAGAGAAAAAGAGAGATTTTTAGGTCATTTTAAAGAATAGCTTTGTAGCTGTTATGGAAAGAATTTGAGTTGCAAGTAATCTCCATGCTTCTTCCTTTTAAAAGGCGAGCAACATCATAAAAACTTCCAAAGAATGAATTTAGAGTAAACATCTGGTGTACACAATAGGAAGTCACTACGCATTTTTTGAGAGCAGCAGCTTCAGTCATACATGTAATAAAAAAACATTTTTGAAACCATTTGGGGCATATATTAATTAAAAGCCCTTTTTACTATATTTGGACACAAATTCCACAAAAAGCAAAGTAAGCTCTGAGTTCAGAACAATGTGTCTGCATGAACACCACCAGTCAATACAGGCGGAAGAAAAAACCCTCTGGCATGTGGTGACTAAACGAAAGTCAAAAAATAGAAAGGATGACATCTTACCATCAGCAAGAGAGTAGACTGCTTTCACGCCATCAGGGATCTATGGGAAATGATGGCAAAGTCCTACCGCTGCTACCTTGTGTATAGAGGGATGCTAATCCTGTCGTTGGATCCTACATAAGTATTAACTCTTTTCTTGCCCAAGTACTGCCACCCTGCTCCGCAGGCCCATGTGCCGAATGCAGAGCTGCTACGCGTTGCCTTGAACCGTGCTGCTGGTACAGCCACTGGTACTGTATTTCTTCACCTGATACCTGAAATCTACTTCTGAAACATACTAAAACAGAGATTACTGTTATGTCACTTCAGAAACCTACCAACCTGTGTGTATTTCTTCAGCACTTGCCTGTAAATACATTTAGAGGGAGAGAGGAAAGGAGCGTGCAGGCTCTTGGCAGCGTTCCCAGCGCAGGGCTGCTCAGGCTGGGAACAAAAGCTCTGTTTTCCTTCATTTTTACTGCAGCTTAGCAGCCTGGCTCACTAGCAGCCACCGCCTTTCCACTCAGAGCAGTAGCCCCAGACCTACCGCTTGGTAAAAGTGCCTGCACTTCTCATTCATCTAAGAAAGGGGGTTTTTTATGCCTGAGGCACCCCTCTTGGGTTCTTATCAGGGAAGTCCTGCCTCTCCTGGCTTCTCCCATGGATGCAGCAAGCTGTGGCCAAGAGAGGATCAGTCAGGCTGTAGTATCATAGCATAATTCAGGGATCCCATACTTACTAATGCTTGCTCTTTGGCAAGAGAGGTGTAATTCCCATCTCTTTTAGAGCTATGTTTGCAAGCAGAATCAACCACTTGTCCCTACTGTCTCACCCTCTTGTGATATGCCTTTCCCTTCCCCTGTTTCTACACCTGAAGACCAAAACCTAGTGCATCCAAGCAATGTGTCCTCTTTCCCACCACTGCCTCAATTCCTATAATCCCCACCTCCAGTTCCTCCAAAGCAGCTGCTCACAGGGAGGTGTTTGCCCATGACTGCCATGTGAACAAGCGCAAGCCATCACCATGTACTACTTTCAAGTAGATCACATCCCACCAAAAATGTGCGCCACAACTTAGGAATGGCTGGACGACATCAGCAGGACCAAAAATGAAGATGATGACTGCTATAACAAATAAAAGCTTTGTTATCTTTACAAAAAGTTCCTGCAAGGATTGTAAAACACGAGCTTCATTAAGGGAAGGGTGGAAGGAATGGGTAGAAACATAAAGGAGATGAAGTGTCTCCAGATAACTGCTTTAACTGAGTAGTATGAAGAAATGCTGGCTATATACTCAACAAAATCCAGTAAGGTCTTTGGAAGGGTAGTGAATAATTATAAACAGAAGTGAAAGCTCAGTGTTTTCAACTCACCTGTAGGGACAGAAGTGAAGGTGTGGAGATTGGAAGAGGAAGCAGGGAGATAGAAGAGCACAGATGAAACACGATTTTGTTCAGG